CACTGTCGTCGATGGTACGGCAGAGACTCTAAGAACCGGACCACTAGTCGCCACATAACCACTTGGAGGGGGCATGCCAAACATATTCTGGTACGGCAGAGACTCTAAGAACCGGACCACTAGTCGCTACATAACCACTTGGAGGGGGCATGCCAAACATAGGTGAGAATAAGGGCCCAACCGACGATGGCGTCATCGATGGACCTGCAACCGATGGGGAAACTACTGGAAACCGAGGCTGCCTCATCACTGGACGAGGAGCCTGTAGTGCAGCCAAAATTCGTTTCTGGCCTGCCACTAGTTCAACCAACACCTCCTGCTGAACTACCTGCGTCTCCGCCACACACAGGAGCAAATTCCGCAGTGCTGGCATAGCCGGATCAAGTGTGGACTCATCTAGTGCTTCTAGCTTGCCTAGTTCCTGCAGTCTACTATCTAGTCTAGCTTTTCTCATGATTGCTCTTCTTCTTCTCTTTGCTGCCTCATCCAATTGCCGTTGTAGCTCATCCTAAAGCTCTTCTGCTTCGAGGATCTCATAATCTTCCGGCATGAGTTGAGCGTGCTGGCTGACTTGCAAGCCAGCACTCTGGCTAATAGAAGCCTGAGAACCACTCTGACTGACTCCTGACGAAGTGGCCTATGCAGAGGCCTGCGACATGGTAGAGGAAGTAGCCATGGTCGTACCGGTACTAGCTGTAGTTCTAAACCTGGCGCTGGCCTCAACCACCCTCGCTCTTCTTGCTGTTGTTCTCTCTCTAGCCTCTCTCCACAGTCTTTTCTCGTCTCCTGGACCTAACTCTAGGAAAGTCAAGGGTCGACTGAGAGCAGTTCTTCAAGTGACCCTAAGGTCATCCACTAACAACTCCTCACTACTGCTTGCATCACTAATGAGCTACAGTGTGTGTGATCTAAACTAGAATCCATACTGAATCCTACCTCAGCATGACACACAACCGATTTATGATACACAACTAACTTCGGGCGGCTGGACAGAAACAGTTAGGTGGTTAGGTGTCAACCAATGTCAGATCCTACAGGGAATATTAAATTTATTTTTAGATTACTCTAATACAGATTGCAATGCAGCAAAGAATATGCTACTCTATCTGCAGCTGTCTGTCAGTTGTTAGTCAAGTCCGTAACAACTAAATAATAAAAAAATAAAAATAATGCTCACTGCAGAGATGGATGCTGAATGGCTGTTTATCTAATTAATGCCACGCCGAATAATTGTCGGAATCCAACCCTTTCCCTGTATCCCTCTTGGGTAATCGCTTTGTGTCAACGCCCTGAGCATCTGGTTGAGCAGCGTGTCTAAAGGTGTGCAATCTGTCCCAGCCCTGTGCCCAAAGTCAACGCCGAACCTGCCAGCCCCTGCACTTTATTTATCCTCGCACGCAACGAGCCTTGCACCCGGTTTGATCTGGCTGATAAGAAGGCATTTAAAGAGATCCCCCGTAACTCCTCAGGAATCATTTAACGTCGCAGACAGGACGACGATCAGAGCCAGAATCAACACCGAGTCCCTGCCAGAAATATTTAAAGACGGTCTGGTAAGCGTCTGTTCAAAGGCCTGGCATGCCCTGCATGACCTCTATTGCGCAGCAGCAGAACCAAGGACTTGTGGCAAAGCATGCGTGTACTAGTCCCAGCAGATTGGCATGGTGACCATGACCCGAGTGCTTCGTCCAGGGCCCTTCAGAGGCAACGCCCGTCTCCCACCAGCTTGCTGCCCAGGAAGAATGTCAACTCTCAAGGTTGAGCGCTCGCGACACCTCACATTGAGAGGACTCTCAAGACAAGACTCACTTCCTCACGGTAAGTAATGAAGAGGGTAGATAAGGAAGGAAGCAACGTACCTCATAATGCTGCCCCCAACCACAGATTTCTCACCGGCAACCTGATGTGCATTTCTGATGACCGGTCCTTGCCTCGGCACAACCAACAGCAGAATGCAGTTCTGCCTCGGCTTAATTGCCACATCAGCGAGCTCTCATGATCCAACATTAAACCCCTAATGTACCCACATAGCTTCCAGGCGCGCCCACACGACCCTGGGCCGCATTACGTTCAACGCCCAAGCCTTATCACTGCCCCACACCTCATGCGAAGCACCGAACAGCTATTGCGAAGAACCAATGAGTGCAGTTCGAACCAGCTCAGATACCAAATTGCAAGGGAAAATGAGCAATAGCGAGATGACAATAAACAGAATGCACAATCACATTGAAGACCAGATAGTATCACAGTGTCCAGAGAGTAGCATTGCACCAATATAACACCAATGAAGAATCGTAACACTGAAAACCAATGTCAATGTTACATGCTGAAAGCCTACACACGGGCCCCTCACGGGACCCGAGGTTGGAATAGGGCCCCCAGGTCGCGTCACCGCAACCTGAAGGCCCTATGGCATTTTACTTGGGCCTGCATCAGAAAAACGCCAGCTTTAGATTATTTTTATATTCTTTTATTTATTTATTTGCGGCTGTTTTTCCAACGGTTGTACTGTTGTCCGTTTTGTGGCCAGGTACACGTTTTAGGACCAGGGCCAGATTCAGGCCCAGAGGCTGAGCTCCTAAAAACGTTTGGACCTTTTCTTTTGTTTTCGAACAGATTCCTACCTGTTCGGACACAGGCCGACGTTGAGGCCGGGTACGTCCGCACAGGACCGGTTCGAAGCCAGGTACCAGGAAACTGCATCCTGGACAGGGCCTGGACGTCCGGTAGGGACCCAGACAGGCCGTTTTAGGCCAAGGACTGAACCAGTTTTCGACGCCTGCCATCTGGACCGTGGATCGGAGTTTCGATCTGCACGGTCCAGAACGCAGGCCGTGGGTTTTCAGTCCTGGCCCAGCGCTACTTAAGCTGGGCCATTGCCCAGTTCGGACACAGAAGGTACCAGGAGAAATCCAGCATTATGCTGGTTCAGGAACTTCGCTGCTGCGCTATTTTGGAGACTCCCTGCTGTGCTATTTCGAGACTGCAGCTGCGCTGCTCATCGGCAATGAGGCACACCGCTGGAGGAGTCCAGCGCCGAGGAGAGTAGTGGAGTTAG